CGCTCTCCATTGCTACATCCCAGAACCTGCTATCGGAGCCGAAGCTCAAATCGCAGCTAGTGTACATTGCGACGCATTTCGGAAAAATTGCAGAGGCTATCGGAAAACTGGAATGTGCTGCGCAGCCCATTGGAACAACATTCGGTATTCTGGAAGAGATCGAGACTTCTGTCTTCGCCGCAGTCGGACCAAAGAGCGGTCCGATCAAGGCGAAGCTTCGCTGCGTTCTGCAAAACAACGAGAGCTATGGTGTCTTCAGAGAAATTTTGTCAGTCGTTCGAGATCACGGGCCGGTTCCGCCCCAGTTCACCTTAGCAGATACGACTTTGTTCCGATATGCTCCTGTGGTGAGCGTCGATGTCGAGCGATCCTTCTCTAGGTATAAGATGTTGATGTCGGATCGTAGATTGTCTCTGACTCAGGAGAACGCAAAATATCACATCATACCGATGTGTAACTTAATCGATGGTGAGGACGAATAAAAAATCGGTACTTCTTTAAGTGCCTGAATGTCGCAGCTCTAGTGATAACCCAAGTCTTGCCTAGGGATACTTACAGACTAGTTCAGCCAGGGGAAAAACATTATGCCTGTAGTTATTCCGTATTACATGCAGAATCAGGACTAGTGTAGCTTGGTAGCCGTCATGATGAGTGCACAAGTTGTGACTGGCTTTTATTGTTATTGACGTTGTAGCTGCATAGCAGACGCAGCTATTTAAATTATTGGCGGGTATTACATCTTCTCTTCCAAGTATTATATACATGCGTGGGTCTATAAGTTTATCTGTCACAATTTACGCTTAGATTGTTGCTACGGTTGATACCGTTGAGTGGTCTTTTCGCCCTATTGCTTCTCCTGATTGGGTTTTCTTCTTCCTCATTGTCCTCCGTCGATTCCTGGATTTTCGTCTCCTCTGCTTTGCTGTTAACCGACAAGGAGGTTTGGCACCGGGCATTCTCTGCTTTGACCAGGGTTTCTTCGTCTTGTTGTGTTGGCGAGCTTGGTGGTGTAGTGAAATCGTCCACTCGCTCCGCAGAGTTTTCTCCGTCTGTGTTGATCATCACCCTGTTTCTCCTGAACGTCGCTTTGGATTCCGCGTCTCGTACTATATATGATCTTGGTTGGGATAGGACTGTTACTACTGTCCCTTTTTTCCATAGGTTTTCATGCGGGTCCTTCACCCGGACCGGCTGACCCTCGTGGAGTGGTGGGTAGTTTCTGCTGTTGCGGTCATAGTATTTCTTTTGTGCTTCGCGTTCTTTCCTGAGCTGCTTGGTCACGGTCTCTGGCGGGATCGTTTTGGGTCGGAGATTTTTTGGATGCACCGGTAGGAGTGTTCGGTGTGATCTCCCCATCAGACGTTGATTGGGAGACCCGAGCTCTTCATTTCTTGGTGTGTTTCGGAGTTCGAGTAGTGCCATGAAGTAAGCCTGTGATCGGTACTCGTATTTTCTGAGGATTTTCTTTGCCTCCTGGACGGCTCGTTCGGCTAGCGCATTTCCCTGAGCATGATACGGACTTGATGTTGAGGTTTCGATACCCAGTTTCTTCAAGCTTTCACGGAACTCATACGAGGCCAGCTGCGGCCCGTTATCCGATTTGACTATTTCGGGAGTCCAAACCGCTAGAAAACCTCGCAGAGAGCCGTGAGGACCGCTTTTGTCGTTGTCGTTT